CGGTGGAAGGAAATGGCAATCAGAAGCTTTCAACAAGAGCACTGGAGGATAAATCTATTATCACAGTATTGTCTGAATGGCTATAATGGCTTCTTTCCTTCCAACAAATTGAATAGACATGCTCATCCCTAATTGTACACAACACCCCCTCAGACACTGCTATTTGAGCTTAATTGTAAAATAAGAGACCTCAGGTTTAAACATAATATCCCAGCTAATTATATTTCAAATACATTAAATGATTCAGAGAGCAGGAAAAAAGAGATGCTGATCTGTTTTATAGGCTCAGTTTACAGTAAAACAATGAAGTTAACCATAGAGCAGTGCCCGTCTTGTGATTTAAAATACTGGCTTCTTGCAGCATGCTGCGAAGAAGCTTGGGGCAGAAAAACAGGCTGAGAATTACAATGACACTTAAAAGAACATATATCTCTTTGACTGCGTCTTATATCAGGTTTTGGTTTTAAAGTCTTGCTGTGTAATCTCATTAAGTTACATGCATTACTAGCTCTGGGAAGAGGTAACAAAACCAAGATCACTTCAGATAAAAGCTTTTTAAGTAAAGATCCTTTGCAGTGCCCACAGTGAAAGCTTGACTATGAATCAAGCGTTACCACTTTCCTTATATCCATGCACAGCTGTGCTGCATCATATGCAACAATTAGGCAAACTCCTTAATAGACATCAACACAGATAATTTGCACACAGTCTCAAGCCTCAGAATATATATCATATAAAGTCATTAGGGGCTAAACAGGACAGACTTGAGAGGGAAGGATGGCTTCCCTGGCCCTTCTTCATTACAATACAGAAATATTTCCATCCAGTTCAGTTATATGCATATGCAAGTGATTAGTGCTCTGAAATTTCTAGAGGGATTTTCCTAGGATTTGATCTGAATCTGCAAACTGTGCATTCAAAGCATATGCTCTAAACTTAAAGGACTGTTTGTCAATAAGTATCTGACTGCTGAATTTCAAACCAATTCCCTCAGCCATTGTGACCTATCACAGTTGTGAAAGGACATCAGAGATGGAATCATTCTTTTGATTATCTCTGGTTTCTCTGGGGAAAAAAAGACAGAATAGAGAAGGTGGTGAAAGAAAACAGCATTGCCAACCAATAAACACACACTCAGAGAGGGAGGGAGGGCGGGAGAGGGAGAGAGAGACTGAGAGACTTAAGAAGGCTGGTAGCTTCTTTCCCCCTTTCATTCCCTTTCTCTCTGCTCCTTCTCTTCCTAACCATTTAACCATCTCTTTTGGGGAAATGTTCTCTTCAGAAATAGCTGCTTTCAAAAGATTGCAGGGCATAAAGGCATTGAATGTGGCTGGATGAAAACAAGGACAATTAAGTCACTTTCACCTATATACAGCAAGAATCTAAAATAGCTGCCTCAAATTTTTTTCAGCAACATGAAGGACTAAATATATTCTTTTCTAATGAAGATTCCACATCATGTTATTTATTTTGAGCTTTGCCGTTAAGCAAATAGGCAAGACAAGATATGGCTTCAAGAGTTAGCATGCTATTCAAAATGTGTGATATCTGACAATCATCACTTCATTTGGCTGAAAAAATAAATAGTTTAACTTGGTGTAAAGCAAATTACTATTTCAATAGATGATGAATATTAGAGGTAAAATGTCCTAAACAATATTTAATGTATTTATGCAAATTAATAAACAATTGTATTCATTAGTCTACCTTTATTAAAGTATGGACATGAACAATCTCAAAAATACCAAAGGCTACAATTTTATTAGTTCTCTTATTTTTCAGTACATGAGAAAATGATATGAAAAAAAATAATAATCTGATAATATTAGGCAAGGAGGACTAAATGGTTAAAGGGATGAACAAAATCAGAATTAGTTTAAATGTTGAAGATTTAAATTAGTTTAAATGTTGAAGAAGAACCATATCTACATATTCATATGACTATATTTTAGATGAACAGTCCAAAATATGAGCTACACATGAAACCTTTTCTCTCATCCATTTGTTAAGTAGCTCAATTAATGTTATGAGTAAAAGGCTGATGTTCACATTGACTTATAATTAATACATCATCCTCCAAACCAATTCATAACTGAAATTCCAATGAGTTTCAGTGACATGGAAAGACTAAAAGTTAGATTACTAGAAAAATTTGGTACAGTAAATGTTTTTGATGAGATGATGGAGATGATGAAGAGATGATATCTATGGTTTCCATCATTGTATATTTCCAAAAGCTGTATTTCAGCAGAAAATGCAATGAAAGAAACCGATTAATTGAAATGGCAAACTTAGAATCTTGAGTCCATGTGAAATGTTCACCAACCACTAAACCCAATAGAGTTAAAGCAAGGGGTACTTTATAATAGGAATGCACACTTTTTTTTTCTGGGGAGAAGGTTATTTTTTACTAGTAGTTTTAAGAGAGGGAATAGAATGGCACTACTTGAAAAAATTAAATGTGTTTTCTGTTCATTTATATTTAATTGCAATTACAATTAAATGCAGTTAATATGATTACTCTCCAATAAATATTTAATAATTTATATCTTCCTTTACATTAAAAAATTATATGTTAACTATCATTTTAAAAGCTCAGTAGGATTGCATTCAAGGCATTTAAAGTACTAAAGCTCTACTTTATAAAAGTCGGACATTAGAAATACATGCAAAATGCAAAGTTGATATATCTTGAGTCTGTAATGTAGACCTACATGCCACTACTTTTGTTGCCACCAGCACCAAATCATAAAACTACTTGGAATTTTTAAAAAAAAGAGTTCCCTAACTTTTTGCAGTCAACAAGGGAGATAATTTACTATAGCTTCTTCCCCTTCTCCAAATCCCCTGTTTTGGAATGGTTATTTTTGAAAAATTTAGTTTCTCCCTCTCCTTCTTTGTTATATCACCAAGCCTTTATGGAAAAAAGTGACAATTTTGTATTTGGAAGTTCCTAACATATTGAGTGTATTTGATAGTCATTTGAAATATTCTTCTTTCAATCACTCATTTTTATGCTAAAAATTGATTTGTAATATTTTGATAAATGTCCACTTGTATGAAAGAAGATATAGATATGCTTTGGATTTCTGCATCATCTTTTAGAGCAGCAATCACCTAGGCAAGTAAGGAATCATTATATTCTGTCAAATGAATACTTGATTTATATTAGACTATTGCCTATATTCTTTTAAAAATATATATGTAAGGACAAAAAATAAGAAAAATATGTGCTTAGCTATTTACATAAAATAAACTTTATAACTGAATTCTTAATTTCCCTAAATGAGACCCAATTCAGCTGTAAGTCAAATCTGAAACCACAGAACAAGACTACATTACAGATCTGTGTGCACCACTAATCAACTTCAATTCCCTCTTCCCAATTTAATTATAAAACATTGGCGGAACAGTTAAATATGTACCGAGTGACCTTTTGCCTCAACCTGTCTGAAGCATTTACAAGGCTTCTGGCTCGGAAGTGATTTGTACAATCACTTTCATTTTATAGACAGTTGGACCATCCAACAACATTACTATCAGAAGCGCTCATGACCTCAGCTTTTACAACAAGCTGCTGTTTGTGCAAAAACACTTCTAAGGAGTTCCAGTAATTAGATGGGACACATACAATGCATCATACATAAAATGTATGGGGTAAGGTTTGATTGTGTGGTTGTGGACTTAATTATGATTCTTTTTACCCCTCCCCAATAAATGTTCTGTATTTAACTATAACATACATTTGATCATCATTTTGATTCATGGTTTCGTCATTTTCCTATTTTCTTATTGTGCAGCAAATGATTTGGGAATAGAAGTTTAAGGGCTCTATGTCTCTTCTATACAGAACATTTTTTCAGTTGGTCTAAATTAGATCTTTTTGACTGGTTGATTATTTAATGTATGTCCACTAGAACCATTTTTTAAATCTCTTGACTACCATTTGATGGTTGTCCATATATTTATGTATTTATATATGCAGCCATTGGGAAACTACTGTTGAAGAACTGGCATTTGAAAAAGAATTTAACTATGGGGATTGGTGCAGCAGCTATAAATTCCCTAAGAATATTATGTTGGAGAAGTAATAAGGAATCCAACTTCTACAATTACATTAAGAACAAAATTCTCTGCAATGGTCAAGAAGGCTGTCTGGATTTGCTTATAATTATAACAGTATGCTAGACAGTTGTTACAAGAAGTAGCCAAAATGCAATGTATGAAGAAATATCAGAGAGTAGACTACAATTTTCACTGTCAATGCAGAAAATAAATAAAGAGTAAAAAGGACATCTCATAAGAGCTTCCTGAGTCTCCCTTCCTGTATCTGAAGCCTGGGTAGCCTGAATAAGCTGCCAAGCCTTTTCTATAGTGGCCCACATATTGTGAAAATAGCTTCTTTAAAGCATAAAATAGCACTCTCCATTCTGTTTGAATTATAATGGAATAAGAGCCTATTTGGTGTAGAGGTTGAGGTGCTAGCTTAGAAACCAGGAGACAACCATCAAACTACCATGACATCAGCATAAATGCTTCATTTACAGCAAAGATAAACTATAGTGATCATCCATAGCTTGTTCATAGTTTAGATTAATGTCTATCCAGTTTTCATTTCTTGAAAACAGAAAATCTATTAATGTTAAATTTTAGAACATGAACAATCAATGTATGTCTAATTTATACTAATTTCTAATTCACAGTTATTGATTGAAGATTAAGAAGTTGAAGATTAAGAAGAAGAAGAACAATATATCCATGGTCCAAAGGTCCACATCGCAACTAGGTAGTTGTTTTAGGTTTTCTTCAACACATTGTCATTTCAGACCTTCAGTACTAATCCTCATAGTAACGCTATTCTAATCTCATGGACAATTTCAATAGAATAGACAATAGAACTATCTAATGCTGTATGCAAGGCATGATATATGGTTATCATGCAATGGGTGGGAACCCTAATCAATGAATGACAAACCACAGGATCTAACTAGACAACTTACCATCGCTGCTGATGCAGACTACTTGAGGCACTTGTGTACCAGGTCCACAATCTTTCTCATTGTCTGGAATACACTCATCCAGGCTCACTATTTTCCATTCATAGCAAGAAGGCTCTTCACACGGGATCGCTTCAATCAAATGGGGACAGTTGCCAGTGCCTCCTGTGGGTTCATTTTTGATGCGACGTTTTCTTAATTTAAAACCTTAAGTTTCCAAAATAAGGAACAATTATTTGGTTTTACATATAAAACAAAAGCATTAATTTTATCCACTTTAAATTCCATAACCTACAAATAGCTATTGTAAGTTATTTCTTATAATTGCATGATATCATACAACTAGGAAGGTAATCATGTCACTCTTTATCCCCCCAAATCCCAATAATATATCAATCACAGAGGACACCGATGTTTCCTTATTATTGCCCAAGGGACAAGCAGTAAATCAATCACTGTAGCTTCACTTCTTTTACTCTCACAACAGCCCTGTGGACAAAGCTAAAATGAGAGAAAATGCCATTTGATAACCCAATGAGCATCAAGGTTAAATGAAGATCTGTTCCTTTTGTCTTCCTGGGTTTAATCCAATTTGAACTGCGATACTTCAATTATATAACCAAAGTTTAGGGATTTCCCATGTATTCAAAGCAAGCATGAATACAATTGATAATGCTCAGGTAACACGAACAACATGAAGAATGTGTTAAGAGGTGCCATGGCATGTGGGGGATGGTGCAAGTCAAGAAGCATGCATGGCAGTTGCATAGATGTTTGAGAGATGCTGCTCTGATCGAGGATAGCACATGGGGTGGGGGGCAGTGGAAAGAGTCTGACAGGGTGCCTGGAGTTGCTTGGGAGTGTGAAGAGATGCTGCATGGCTCAAGGTGAGTGTGCATTAGTTTGTATGAAGTACTGTATAGGTCAGAGAAGGTGCCTGAGGAGGCAGTACAGGTCAGGGAATGTGAAGGAGAGTAGCATGGACTGGAGAAGGTATGCAGGTACGCACACACTGAGACTGGGGGAGAAAGTGAGGGATTGTGAGACTGACTGGAAAACTGTCATGGAACATTGAAAATGAAGATCATGTGATGCCAGCAATACCTCAGCAGTACAACAGCAGCAGCAGTCGCCAGTAGTGTGAAGCAGTAGAACTTCCCCAAATTTCAGTCCCTTGGGCTTCATTGATCTCAAATTTCAGGCACATTCTGTTAAGTTAGCCCAGTTGAGCTAGGTTTGGTTCAAAAATTGTTGCCCTATAATACCCTGTTTAACCCAATTAAGGATCATGACAACAAGAGTTTTAGTAGTAACTAGATTTTCTGAGGGAAGAATATTTGTTGCGGGATAAAAGAATAAATTGAGTCTGAAAAGCACAAAAACCAACATTAAAGTTGGTTTGAAAGATGAAAAGGGAAAGAAGAGAATGCCAACTTGTAAGAGAAGAATATTTTGAAAACCTCAAAAATGTAGAGCTATAACACTGATAGAGAATGGAAAGAAAGAGGATTAAGAATGATAAATACTGAAGGAGGATGCAAAGGGATTTATAGAGATTATAATACTTTACAAGCAGCAGTAAATGAAAATAATAATAATAATAATAATGAGAGCAGAATAATTCTCAACTACCTAACAGGGCAGTTCAAAGACTCAAGAGGAAGGACAATTCTGTAATACCTCTCTCTATATCGCTATGTAAAAATTCACAGACTTGCCTTTCTAAAGTTAGTATTTAAAACAATTTGATCTCTCTAGAGGAAGAGTGAGGGAAGGTCTGGATCTGCCATCCCATAATTATTCTTATTAGAATAACTGTCACAAAAGTACTAATGAAATATTTATACTGATTTGCTTGCTTATATTTTTCTCAATTAGGGCTCTGTCCTTTTGTCCTTGGGAGGTATTACAGAAAGTCTAGATTTCCTCTTCCAAAATCAGAAAGAACGAGCTCTAGTTCCAGAGAGAAACGTAAGTAATTATTACTGCTTAGAGCTAGGAATTAGTATCCTTTCAATGTTACAATTCACCAGGATTAGTTGCATCAAACTACGGAATGTGACATTTCTTTATTAGCAGATCTTCGTAGACAAATATGAAAATACTGTTTGGGTAATGTAGAATACAACTCATAGAGATATATAATCTATCAAAATAAATGGAAAGGGAAACTGTAAAAACCATGAGTTATAAAAAGATCCAGAAAAGAAATCATAAGAAATTATGGATCCGTTAAGCTGCTTCAACTAAGTATGCAGCAAAAATAACGGAACTTGCTTAAAAAAATCTACATACCCTTTTTGGCTTGCTGGTCCTCACAGTTTTCAAAGGTACAAAGCCCCCATGCTGACCAAGCTGATACCTCACACTCTATAGGACATGGGATGTGGCACAGTTGGGTAGTGCTGGGAATAGGGCCTGTGCACAGTTTCCAATCCACAGGTTTAGAAGCTGTAAAAGAGAAGACAAAACATGAAGGTTTTGTTTGTTAACATAAAGATAGCTTTGCTAAAAAATAAAAAAAATCCCCAAAAAGTCAAGAAAGCGATAACGTCTGTCTTTAATCTCTTGTAATTGAAACACAGCCAATGAATTCTTTTAGGCTAAATTTTTGTGGGAAGTTCAGAAATATCTAGAAAACCTAAAGATTTTGGTGAGGTGCCATTTTTTAATAATGTGGATGGTGGAGTGGGCATTCTAAGGAGACAATGAGAGTCATGGATCTGGAAATTGCAACCAGTGACAAATGCCACCTCCAGGATGCTATTTGGATTTCACCTTATACGTCTAGATTACCACCTTGCCACTAAGACTTATTATTGATTGATTGACCGATTCCTAAACAATTTAGGAATCGGTTGCCTAAAAAAAACTAATCAAATTTATCGAACCTGCTCTCTGCTCTTTAGCCTGTAGATGCTGTATGGTGGCCACATGAAGACAAACCTTCTCTAAAGCAGTAACTGTCCCTCTAAAATGATCCCCTCTCTGTATAGGTCAAGCTCCAGTGTTGATATACATAAAATAACTTTTTAGTTTTTCTTTTATGTCATGTTGACATAAACCCAGAAGAAGCCAAATCATTATATTTACCTTTTTTCAACTGCTAATATTCCAGTTTTTACTCATTTAATTCCCATTTTTTGTTCTTATTTCACTCTAAGTATGTTAAACTATTTCAAGTATTTTAAATAAATGCTACAAATTTTAACACCTAAAATAGTAAAAGCCACTAAATTATTATATGCCTACCAGCAATTTTCCATTCTAATGCTTTCTATAACAGCCTTCTAGCAATATATTTAATTTTTAATATTAAAATTCCTTGTCTGTGCATATCGGATCATTAATGCCGAAGTGTAATTATATGCATGTTTAATATTTGTATGAATAACATTAATTCTTTAAACTGAAAACTCAGGTATTCCAGAAGCAGAGAAATTCTTTCATAAACCTGTGATTATAACCCAAAAGTCTACTCACCTACAGAGAAATAAGTCCTAAAAGATGTTTGATTGGACCTTCAGGGTGAATTACGTACCTGTTATTTCAAAAGTGATGGATAGAAGTGGAGCAGCACTAGTCTTTGATGTTCTCTGGGATTGATTTTCTGAAAAAAATGTGGACAAAGACTTCCACAAATACCAGAGAAGGATGGGGTAGACGTAGATACAAATATGCTGCATTTGACCCATAGCTTATACCAGAGCTATGACATTCTCGGTGGAATAATAGGACACACTTACTGTTTTGCTGCCAGATCCATTTTAGGCACTTTTCCCCTTCTAATAAAACATAGTGGAATCCTATTATAATTAACTCTAATGAGAGTATTCTGCTCTCTGAAGACTTGTAAATTTAATGTTTGTCTTTTTATTAGTGAATCTCTGAGGAAATAAAAGGTTCCTTTCTATAAGCAGTCAATGATTTCTTATATTTAAAAGCATATTCTGGTTCACAGAAATTAAAGGCCAAACAGGCTTTTGTTTTTCCTATTACACCCCAATGAAGATAAATCTTATTCTAACTGATGCAAACAAAGAGATCTTAAACTATGGAAATCCAGATTCCCACGTTAAAAGCAGATTGATTCCTACAAACACATTTCTCCCAGTGAAGGGTTTGATTGGTTGTTGTTGTAGTTGTGTTTGCAAATATTCTACACTATCCCATTACCTTTGTGTAGAAATTGTAAGCAAAAAGTATAATATTTTGACTTCAATCAGGATAGGTATTAGAATGAAAGTTAGCTACCTAGTCTTTTAGACATTCTTCCAAGTACATTATATATTGAATTATATGAAATGGGTTGGACTGTGGGCTTTTAAGCAAGATATATATCATAAAATAATCAGAACACCAGGATAATACTGGTGTTCGGATAAAACACCAGTATTATCCGGATTATTTTATGGTATGGATTTACCCAGGATTCACATTTTTAGCATAATTAGATATATATAATTATATATATATAATTTAGCATAATTATATATATACACACACACACACACACACACACACACACACACACATCTTATAACACATCTTATATAATCTGAGTGTTTTAGATAATCCTAAGCTGTAAACCAGGTGCATTGATTAAAATTTGCAATTTAGAAATTATTTTAAAATGTTATAGGAAAAACAAACTATGATGTGATACTATATGATTTCTCCTCCTACTCAGATCACAATCTACATTCCTACACTTTTCCCAATATATTAGGACTGCATCCTCCATGAATTTTAGGATTTCTGTTGTTATTATTCTAAGACATTTGAATGTATCACACTTGCGGAGGCTGCCTTTTTTTATAAGTACAATCTCCCACAATATTCTCTTATGTAATTCCTCACAAAATTAAATGGGGATCATTTACTGAGTTACAATGTGTTTTTGCAATTTGTGTGTATGTCTGTATCTATGTAACTAAGCCCAAACTCTCATAGATCCAGGTGAATGCCTGGGTAGGACTAAAGAATAGTTCTAATACATGCAAAAACTGATAGAACTGAAAATTTTAGTTTGGGCAACCAAACAAAATCTACCACTGCACATGAGGAGACCAGACAGGTTGCAGTTAAAGAGTATGACTTTCCTCCCACCTATTTCTTGAATTCATGGCAGCCTGCAGGGTGTGGTGAAAAAAGATGGCAGGCCATAAGGCTGCTATCAAAAATTTAACTTTATTTTATGTGTGACGCATTTAAAAAATGGCATGGGTATCATCTTAACTTTTTTGACCATGCTGTACAGACACCCCTAGTGGCAGGCAAATGAAATATGTGAACCATAATTTTTCTGATTCCTAGCTAACATTAACCATGGTGCTACAGGTTTTCGTAATGTCAAAGATCAAAAATATATTTTAGAAATGAAATATAGTTTTAAAAGAATGATAAAAATCTACCTTAGGAAATTTAGCTTCCATAATAATGAAATATTCATACCTTTCTTTTCCTTCAGTGTATTTAAATAGGAGAGAAGATTTTCATTCGCTTGCACACAATACACCTCCCGGGTCTGAATCCCACCTCCACAAAGAGATGTTTGATTTCCCCGCCGCTTATCCTGTTGGCTGAGTAAAGGGTCAATGCGACATTCTGTCCATTCTGTGGTTCTCCAGCCATATCTAAACAACAACAACAACAACAATATATATAGATAAAAAATAGATAAATGCACAATGAAATTGCATGAAGAATCATTACAGAAAGATGGTTCCTAACGTTACTGATCAAATGGCTCCGCCTTTTCACTTCACAATTGTTATTACTTACTCATAAGGAAAAAGATGGAAGACTAAGAAAACATTGGAAGTTACAAATGAAAGGGAAACTGTATGATAATACTCTCATTTAGAAACATTTTTCAATATAGTAAGCAACAATAATTATTTTTTGTTTTAATTATTAGAACTGAATTTGCAGTTAGTTACAACAGGTTGTCACATTATGTAAAATTAATCAAACTGATTAATTAAACTTCAGATCCTATTGAAATGACTTGAACATATTTGGAAGCCATAGATTGGTGGTATTATTTTGGCCTCATATACTTTCAGTCTGGGTAATTGTATAAAAATGTTACTATGGCAGCTTCAGTTCAGACCTTCTTTTTAGGGATTGAATTTGGGACCTGCATAAACTGGTGATATGACAAGCAATTCTGAAATATTTGAGGATCTGAACCTGTTCAATACCATTTGTATTTACAAGTTGTTAAATTATAATTAATTAACATAAAATTAATAAAAGTGAATAATTATTTAAATTGAATGCAGATCCTATTGAAATGGCTTAGGTAACTGAGTCAAGAAAAATCCCAGCGATTTAAAATAGGAATTATGTCAAAGAGCATTACAATCTTCTGCTAAATTTCCTGATGCTCATTTATTAGTAGGATTTAATTATGAGTGATCTTACATAAGATACATTATTTGGTCTAAGCCTAAGAAAATATTAAAAATATGAGGTTTAGTCCAAATCAGATAATTGTTCACCGAATAAAATATTATTATCTACAACTACTACTACAAATTTCCGCTTGAAAGGAAAAAACATTCTGGATCTGTACAGCTGAAATCATAATTTGAAATTAAAGAATGGTACCAAATATAAAATAATGTTCAAGATACCTATGCTTTTAAAATGTTAATGGTTGAAGGAAAAATATTTTTAAACCTCAATTTCCTTTTGATAAGTGACCTATGTACTAGGGTTGTTGTTTTTTTTTACAATTTGTGCATGTCTACATTTTTAAAACAAAATACAAAACAAATGGAACCATCCTCTATTTCTCTTTGTTGAAATGTATGTTTCTCTGTGTGTAACCTATTTACAATTTTTTCTTTGTCAAGATGATAACCAATTCTGCAGAAGGCTCCTACTGAGCCCAGCAGTGCTGATGAATGATGTGTGAGCTTCTGATCAGCCAGTGCACAAGATTTCCAGTAAGTTAAATCTCAATCATCCTTGTGAACTAAAGAAATGCCACAAAATGCTCTACTGAAAGAATACTTTAAGGAAATATCAAGGGAACATTTCCTCAGGCCACAATTTTGTCTCCAAAAGGTCAAAAATGATAATTTTATCCCTAAGCAAATTCTGTATTATAAATATGTGATAAATATTCTGTATTAGACATCAGTGAAGGAAACGGGAAATTATTTTCTTGCAAACGGTACCTGAATCAAAACCTGGTGCAAATTATTCTGGTACTATGGAAGCTATAACAGCACCATTCCTTCCTGCATCACAGGACACCTTTAAAAACCTTCAACACTATAAGAGAAGTTCATGTCAAACTGCCGTCCTGTGGGCCAGATGTGTTATGTTGAAACTGCGCCCACCCCATTGCCGGCAATGGAAAAAAAGTTGCGATATGTCACGACACGTCACATGACATTGCGAGTTTGACATCCCTGATGTAGAATGTGCATACATATCTGTGTTAAAAGCAGAGAAATTATAGGCTCCTCCCATTATTTATTCAACAGAAATGTGGATTTGGAATTCTCACTTAATTCACTTAAGCACTCACAATGCCAGAATAACATGAACCTCAAGGTTGTATAATGCTAAAGATCTTGAGATATATCGTTACTTACGTGATACAAGCAGTCACTCCATCTCCTTGAGTTACACACTGCTCTGTTTCTTCTAGGTTTGGACACTCACTTTCACTGCCAATAGGAAATTGCTTGATTGTCCGTGTTCTTGTACGATACCCTTTCGGGGATGTCATATCAAAACATGTTTTGGAACATGGGCTCCATTCAGACCATTCTGACACTTGGCATTCCTTTGTGATCACACATGATTGGAATGTAATTGGCAACTTTTCTTGTTGACAAAAGCTGTAAAAGAACATCAGAATGTTTAAAAAAAGGATTAATTCATTAAATTCCTAATTATATCCCTTAACCCTTAACCAAATTTGCATTCTTAGTACAATAGCTATACCTTCAGAGAAAGGTAGGTTTCTTTACAAAACCAATTTCTACATGCCTTTTATTATCCTCAAAACTGATTGGTTGGTTAATAACACATTTGAAGAATTATTTTACTAATTCCTGTGATTGTATATTCTAATATACTCCTGAGGATTGGAAAAGGCCTGATGTAGTTCCCATCTTCAAAAAAGGGGGGGAAATGGACCTAAGACACTACAGATCAATCAGTTTAACATCAATACCTGGGAAGATCCTAGAAAAGAAAAATAAAAAACAGATCTGTGAACAACTAGAAGCAAACAAAGCTATAACTAGTAGCCAGCATGGGTTTGTTAAAAACAGATCATGCCAAACCAATCTTATTTCATTCTTCAACAAAGTGACTAAACCAATAGACCAGCGAAGTACTGTGGACATAGTATATTTAGACTTCAGTAAGGCATTTGATAAAGTAGACCACAACCTACTCCTTGGTAAGCTAGGGATAGACAACATCACCAACAGATGGATCTGTAGCTGGCTGGCAAACTGTACTCAATGAGTAGTCCTCAATGGCACTACAACCACATTGAGGGAAGTAAGCAGTGGGGTACCAGAAGGTTCCATCTTAGACCCAGTAGTCTTCAATATCTTAGGTGACTTAGATGAGGGAATTGAAAGGGAACTCATCAAATTTTCAGATGACACCAAACTGGCAGAAGTAACCAACACTCCAGAAAACAAACTCAGGATCCAAAAAGATCTTGACAAATTTGAAAAATGGGCCCTATCCAACAAGATGAGTTTCAGTATGGAGAAAAGCAAAATTTTACATTTAGGCAGGAAAAATCAAAGGTACAAATACAGATTGGGCAAGACCTGGCTTAAAAACAGTAACTGGGAGAGGGACCTTGGAGTCCTAGTGGACGATCACTTAACCATGAGCCAGCAGTATGCAGCAGCAGCCAAAAAAGCTAATACAATTCTGGATTGTATAAACAGAGGCATAGAATCAAGAATCAAGATCACGTGAAGTATTAGTACCACTTTATAAAACCCTAGTAAGACCACACCTGGAATACTGCAGCCAATTTTGGTCACCATATCCCAAAAAAGATGTTGAGAGTTTGGAAAAAAAATTCAGAGAAGAGCAACTAAGATGATCAAAGGCCTGGAAACTAAAACATATGAAGAATGGCTGCAGGACTTGGATTTGGCTAGTCTAAAGAAAAGAAGAAATAGGAGAGACATGATAGCAGTATTCCAGTATTTGAGGGGCTGTCACAAAGAAGAGGGGGTCATGTTATTTACCAAAGCACCAGAGAGCAGGACAAGAAACAATGGTTAGAAACTGATCAAAGAGAGAAGCAACCAGGAATTAAAGAGAAACTTCTTGACAGTGAGGACAATTAACCAGTGGAACAGCTTGCCTCCAGAAATTGTGGGCACTCCATCACTGGAGATTTTTTAGAAGAGGCTGGACAGTCACTTATCTGAGATGGTATAGGTCCTCCTGCTTGAGCAGGGAGCTGGATTAGAAGGCCTCCAATGTCCCTTCCAGCTCTATTCTATTCTATTCTAATTTGGTTTCAGTATCAGTTCAATGTCAATCACAAAAATGATAAAGGAACTTCCATATCATTCCATATGCTACTTTGATGAAACAAAGTGCTAAAATATGTCACAAAGCATACACTGGTGTAATTTAGTTAGTTATGCTTGCATAGGAAAGTAAAAATCCATGATCTGGTGACAGTAGCATTTTGAACTCCTGTAAATGGTAAGGTGTTTGGGTAAAATTCTCAAATTTCTAAGGGAAAAGATAATTCTACTAGATGATATGACTAGTTGGCCCTCTCATCAATATAAGAAGCAATATCAAAAACAGATGATTAAGAGGGGCTATCTGAAACAAGATTTTAAGCTTTAAATTTAAATATATTCACATGTACCCTTGGCAAAGAAAAGGCTATATATCTGAAAGCATAGTTGGTTTAATTGTTTATGATGAAAATTAAAAAGAAACAAGGATCATGGGAAGTTCTGAATATGGGACACAACATTTTTTGGAAATGACAAAGATCAACTTTGAGAAAAAAATGTACATAGGAAAAAAGAAAAGAGGCAGAGTAAAAGAAGTGAAGAAAGATAGTGAAGAAATGATGAATGAAAATATACTAGAAGATAAATTAATCTCCCAATAGAATTAATGGAAAGTGGACCTAAAAGAAAAACAGGGGGAAAGGGGGAAGAAATAATTATGTTACAGAATGCCACAGGAGTTCAGCTAATAGAAATGGGGGGGGGGAAGGATAATTGATGGAATCTTGGTCTAAGACATTGTAGATAAGAAAAAAAATCTTTAATGAATGCTGCAAAACAGTGGGAAAGATATGATATGATGATGGGCATGTGCAAGTGATATCATGAAGCAAATAATGCTATGTGGCACTGTGGGAAGTTAACCCAGAGAAGGAAATATTAAAAAGGCAGGAAAAAAATATTGTTCACCAAAAGGATTTTTAAAAGCATTTTTTTGAAAAGCAGAAACCAAACCTGGCCTCATCTCCTTGCCCAGGGCAGTAGCTGGTCTTATACATATGCAGATGTGGAACCATCAGGAAGTTTGGAGCCAGGGATCTCAAGACAAAAGAAGCTCTTAAGAGTCATTAGCCCCAACACCTGGGAAGCAGGATATGATAATGGGATTAAACCACAGATATCAAAGCCTAGAAAAACACTCAGAAATAGCCTCAAAGTTCATGCCACAGGAACAGGAAACTTCCAGGCAGGGCTAGAGGGTATAAAAAGACCATCTGCCCATGTGCTCACTCTCTTTTCTTCTCCTCTGCTGCTTATCTGTCTTCTGCAATAAACTGTAACCTTCTTCCCAAAGCAGTCGCCATGTTTGCTTATTTATTCCCGGCTTGGATGAACCAGGATGAAGACTTACTTCTAACAGCACATAGCTAAAACTAGAGGTACTATATGAGTAAACATTTGCTGATAAAATGTTCACCAAAGAAGGAAAATTGAGAAATTTTAAAATATGCAAATACCAGTAAAAATAGTGGAAAGTATGCATAGATTGAATATATTATGATCAATTTATTGTATAATATTTTGAATGTTGTATGTTGCAAGATGGGTGTTTATATAATGGAGAGCTGATGAGCACTTTAATATATGGAAGTGAAAGGTGGATATGCCATGAAAAACATAAAAAAATGTGTATGGTAAAATAAGAGAAGAAAGGATCAAGCATGAACAGATGCTGAATGATTGATTGAAAACAAAAGTGAGTAACCTGAATGTAAGAAGGACATTGAAGTGGTTTGGTTATATACAGGGCTTTTTTTCTCATAGAACACCCAGAATGGAGTTCCGGCACCTTTTTTGGATGGAACCTTGTAGGGTCGGCAAGGCGGGTTGTATGATGTGTGTAAGTTCCGGCCCCTTTTTTTTTTTTTTTTTTTTTTTTTACAAAAAAAGCACTGGTTATATAAAGAGGACGAATGAGGATAAACTGAAAAACAATTAAATGAAGGAAGAATAAATAGGTCCTGATGAAGGAGAAATAATTATTGGATGGAGTTGATAAGATCCTGAAAAATAGGTAAGTTAAAGAACAAAAGACAATGTATAAAAGCAGCATATAGATGTGATAGAAGCAAGAGTGATTTGTTAGAAAGACACAAAGAGGCAAAGAGAATTGTGTTGTTGTAAATCGGATTTATACTTTTTTTCTTTTTTCTTATCTCATGCTGTTAATTTCTTTGATTTACTATTTCTCATTTCTCTTTTCTATGTTCTGCATAATGTTGCATGCCCTGAAAGGAAACAACATGGCAGGTATGTATGTGTGTAGTTAGAGGAAATCAAAAGGATAGATTATCACAGTGATTGAGGAATCTGTTCCCATTTGTTAAAAGTAACAGTGTTCATTGATTTAGATCATTCCACATTAGTCAGAACTACTGTTATTTAAATAGATAGAAGGAATCTTACTAATACTTAAAAGTGTTCCATATTTGACCTGAAGTCAGGAAAGTTTTTTTTTTTTTAATGATCTGGTACACTGCACCTGTCATTGTCTTTTTAAAGAATCCCTTTTTCTGGACTAATATAATAGCCACATGAACCCAGAAACAAATGTGTTTCATATTAAGAAGGCAATAAGGGAAGACGGAAAAAAACTTCCACATCCTTTGTGGAAATTTTGTGCATTTTCCATTCCTATTTCAGATCCTAATACAGCACACCTTTGCTTAGCAAGATAGCCTTATGAATCCAATCAATCCCAAAGGTGGTTTTTTTTTCTCAAAAGGCAACTGACTGTTTTTTCTTGGAGACATTTTGCTTCTCATCCAAAAAGCTTCTTCAGTTCAGATCCAGATCTTCAAGGAAAAACAAAGCCCAGTTGCCTTTTGAAAAAAGCACATTTGGGACAACCATGACCTAGATGACTGAGAATCTCCATAGACAATCCAGTCAATCAGTCTATTAATAACAACTATATTTTTAAGTACCAGCATCTCAATTGCTTATCTAATGACAAACTCTGCAAGTATCACTTAATGATCTAAATATATATTCATAAATGTATCTCTCAGCAGCTTGATGACTTCATCTGGACTTGGATTAGAGACCTTCAGAAATACCAAGGTTTTAGGTAGACTGGAAAATTAAAAAACACCCAGGAGACAGCAATAACAAACCACTTTTGAACTGTTGTCAAGAAAATTCTATTTATGCAATCACAGGAGTTGAGCTCTATATACATAAATATAGCTATAGACATAATAATCCTTTGGAACCTACTTCCACTATCCCACTGTACTACACATCACCAATCTTTTCTTTTTGTATAGTGCACTGCTATGTAATAATTAGGCTAGGGAATCCAAGACAACTTTAACCATTCT